GTGGCAAAGGAATTGGTCTGAGGCATGTAGAATGTAGAAGTGGAATGGGGACATTTTGGGGTGGAGGGGAGGGGCTGAGCGAACGATATTACTAGAGTATGGAGTATGAGAGAACCTTGTCGACGTGCTTCCTGTCTGGCTTCACGTAAAGTGAGACCATTTTTGTATCTGAGAGTTGCTACCTCAGATTCCAACTTGTAAGTGGGACAGCCTGTATAAAATACATTATGGGGGCCGCCGCAGTTAGCACATGTTCGTGTTTGTGCTGAGCAGTTTGATCGGTTATGACCTGGTTGGGCACATATGGGGCATCGGTCTGTGGAACGGCAATGTTTGGCAGGATGTCCAAAGCGCCAATAGTTTTGACATAGACGGGGAAGGGGTTGGTATGGTCGCAGAGGGAGGGATTGTCCACCGATGTAGATACGTAAGGGAAGGTCATGTGTGCGGAAATTAATTTTGGCAATGTTGGTCGGATTCTTCCATTGACCTTTAGGAGGAATGGTGTAGCAATGTACTGATTTCACATCATGGTCTTTGAGGCATCCTAACAAGTCTTCTCCACAGTCTGACCAATCTTTGGTATCAACTGGGCAGTTTGCTGAGGAGAGTTCGGTCAAATTTGACTGTTCCCGTACAGGTATTAAGGGTTGGATGAGGTTCTGCAGGAATGGGGTTGCCAGAATGATCAGTCAAATTTGATAGTGCTATAGATTCAGCTTCTGATCTGACTGTTACAAGACGGGAGCGATCGCGTCTGGTATAGAAAGGGACTTGTTTTTGGAGGCATTGTTGAAAGAGAAGTGTGTTGTCTGAGTAAGGAGCTGTAGAAGGGATCACGAAAAATCGGTCCCATTTAGCTGGGATAAACAGTATTTAAGATATCTGTAGGGTTGGTGGTGGTGGATGGTCGAGGACGTGTGGAAGAGGGAGTATTACGGAATGATGGAGAATAAGGCTGCAAGGTAGTAATAAAGGAGGATTGGTTGCTTGATGAAAGTTGCGAGGGTAGAGTTGATGAATTTGAGGAAGTTCGGTGGGTAGGAATATCTTCTGGAGATTGATTCTCTGCTTGGATGGGTAATGCACTAGTAGGTATTGAGGAGTGGGTAGTATTTTCAGTGTTCAGAGCCGTGGTCAAAGGAGAGCCTGGGCTGGGGCTATTTGTTAAAGGGGCTACAAAGGGATTACATTTTCATTACTGGTCATGGGGAACCTGGATTATATAAAAGGCATCAACTGGTCCACCTCCATTGCTAGTGAAAGGTAAAGGCTAGATAGTCGGGAGTACCGGCCCATAGTTCCCGCAGGTTTCAGACTGGCACAAGGTCACAGCTTTCATCCTCTCAGCACGGCTCTCACACTTAGGAAGTAGATAATAGAAGGGAATGGAGAAGGATGGAAACAGAAAGCTGGAGGAGAAAAAGCAATGCAAAAAAGTTGAGTCGAGGGCTGAGGCCCTAGGCAGGGGTGATCCTGCATTGGGTCTCTGTCTCCGTCTCCTAAGCTCTCCCACGACAGCACGGGCAAGGATTGGGGGGGGCGGGTAATTTTGGTAAATTAAAAGATGAACCCTTTTCACAAAGCACGCCGCGCGCGGCGCGCGTGGTAATATATACGCTCAGGAAAAACACATTCCCACACGTACGTAAATGCACATGGAGAGAGAGCGACAGCGAAGCCAACGAGAGGGAGAGCGAGGAGGGGAGGGAGAGGGAGAGCGAGAGAAACATGCACCGAGACAGGTACCCTGCGAAGTGTTTCTTCTGCGGCACAGACATTTTAACATTCTTCCTGGCTGGTCGATATTTCGGGCAGGCAAATCCGTCTCCGAGTACGAGCACCCTCCACACTCGGCCATCGTGGCGGCTAAGACTGATTACTGAACGCGACGGTTATTTCGGTTAGGAATACGGATGTCGTTATTCCAGAGGACAGGAAACTTGACTTTGAGACCATCGGTGTAACATCGAGAGAGGCGCCAAACCCTCCGACATCGACGATGATTGTGTAACGCTCTAGCCTGCCAGAAATACGTGGTGGTTGTTTCCTCGGCGGGGGTTTGGGGGCGGTAGCCCTCCAGGAGGGTTTGCAGGGGACGCAGCCCCCTGCAAAGGAAAGTCATGTAACTAACCATGGTTAGTTTCACTGAGCGTTATATTACTGGTGTTATTTAACCCCGCATTTTCCCTGGAACCTTCCATGCCCTCCCTTGCTATCGGGGCCAAGTTTCCGAGCAATAAAACCTACATATTTGCATTGCATAGAGTGAGAGGAATCCAACGATACCAAAATCGTCGATATCGGTTATGCAGACGTCATATAGAAAATTAAGAAATCGATTATACCTATAAATATATATGATAAATATCAAAAAGTCTGGGCTAATGTAGGAAAAGAATCAGTCTTTCGAATTTTCATTTTTTTAGACGACCAAGATATTTTCAGAGTTCAAAATTTACTGGTTAGCACTTTTCCTTTAATATTTTTCCATAATTTT